AAAATACTATATTTAAAATAAAAAGGTTTCAAAAATTTCTAAACCAACAATAACCAAATTGTTTGGATGATTAAAGATGGGCAACCAATACCACCAATTAAATAATGACAAAGTAACTTTTTACACACCAACTTGCAAAAAAAGAAAGGAAAATCTTTTCGTTTTCTGTGTTGCCTTGTTGCCTACAGCATCTTCAAGATTCAATTTTCCTTTTTGAAACGGTTGCTTAGCTATTATTCGTCAAAATACAAAGAAAAAGAAATGAAAAAAGGCAAAACAAAAAAATATATATATGAGGACAAAGCTTAAAAAGAAAATTTTCTTTAAAAAAATAATATAAGAATTAAAAAAATTCACAATTTAACTTTTAAAAGTACCTTAAAAAAGCATTAAAAACCCAATTTATTTTTTTTGTAAATTTACGAGGAAAAGAATTTGCTTTTTAAGCTTTTTACCAAACACCCTTCCGTCTTTACCTGAGTAGTAATAATGAGCACCCAAGCGGCGAAGAAGGAAATGCTCCGTCCATAAAACGCCTTGATGATATTAACGATGCCGACGGCGTAAGCGGACCCGGATCCGAATGCGCTTCCGGCATTAGCGAAGATGGTAATCAGGACGTGCTCTTTCATGTTGAACGGACCAGGGTTCAGGGAGAACTTCTTGGATCCGAGACCAGGGAATGGAATCTGGAACTGGGTCTTGGGCAGCACGGCGGCCATGAATTGACCGATCGGGAGCGTGGCCACTTGAACCGTGATTTGGGTTATGACGAGGGGTTCCGTCCGGTAAGCGAAAAACTGGTTGAGGAAGGAGAGGAGGGCGCAGGAGAGTAGACCCAGGAACCACATCCGGAAAGTCCATACGGGCAGGGTCGGATCGTCGGTGTTGGCTACGGTTAGTCGGACTTCCTCAACTGGGGAGAGTTCGTCTTCGCCGACTTCGTAGTATTCACCGTTAACGTGGCGTTTTTCTGGGTCAGTGGGAGTTTGTATTTCTAAAGAGGCCATTGGTGCAGTGGAGGTGAAAGAAGGCTCAAGCTTGGTTTAGTGATGGAAGAGACTTTAGGGCCCTTTTATTCCCTGATGTATGGATGAGATGTGATCTTTGACTTTAGTCATGGATACCGTTTCAATGTAAGCTGGGCTGGAATGCATTACAATATGCTATATTTTCAATGATTTGATTCGTGATTTATAGCTTAGATTGCAAATTAAAATTTTAGTCTGATTTAAGACATTATTAAAA